CCGTAACCGCCATCTCCATTTACCTCTCTCCTCGGGGGGGGAAAACCCTCTTTTTGTGTGGACCACTAGGAGACACGGAGTGGGGATGAGGTACCAGGGCATGCTACTGAAGATGGATATGGCCTGGAGCTGCTAGCTGTTGTCAAATCTTCATGAGGGAAGTGTCAGCATGCCTGTTTTTATGCAGTCTCACTATTAGAGAATGGTAACAAATTCTGAATTTTTGACAGGTGAGAAGTGGTATCCCATATTTTCATTTCATGGTGAAGAAAGATTTGCATTTTATTTTCCCATCAAAGTTTCAGTCTTTTCTAGTCTAATTTTAGAAGTGCTTTGTATATTAAGGCCACTAACCCTTTGTCTTTGGTATAAATTGCAAGTTTTAAAAAAAATTTAGCCATTTATATTTTTACTTTGTTTATAGTTGGTTTTTAGCTATGTATTCTTTTTGTTATAAATCATTGTCTTTTCGCCTTCATAATTTAATTGCAAATTGTCTGTGTTGCAATTAAAAAAATTAAATGGAAAAAATATTAAATCATGAGTCTTCTTTAATGATGAGGTTTCCTATATCTCTACTGCCGGTTTTGTAAGTGGTCCTGGATGGCTCGCTTTGGAATGTCTATTGCATCAATGTCATTACCACACTCATTGCCACCAACTTAGACAGGCCTTTGTCTCTCACCCTATACTTCAGCTACACCTAACTTCCTCCCCCCCCATCTCCAGCCAAAAAATATTTACAAACCCTGGATATTTGCTCACACCTTTCTCCAAACTTTGTGATGCCATGACATCCGTCCTCTCTGTATAGTTCAAGAATATCCTCAAATTCTCCCCATTCAGTCAGTGGCCTGTTAATTTTCTCTATTCCCCGACACATGCTATTCAGACAAGTCACTTATTCCATCAAAAGCGAAAACATATCCCATTCAATCGTGTCCCCGCTGTCTGAAAGCTCTTTCTTTCCTGCTCCCTCCATGTAAATCACCTGCAGTGGTCAAGGAGTAAATGCCTCCCGTTTTCATTAATCCCACATCTGCTCAACAAACACTCACTCAGGGCAACAGCCAGGCACCATAGGTATAAACCTGAATAGGACAGTCTCTGACGTCATGGGGTATATAGAAGGATTGGGAAAGAATTATAAACCAAGTAGGATAAAGTATGATATCCTGGACCACAGGCATACCTTGGGGCAAAAAGGAGGTAAGGATTCATTTTTAATGTGGTAGATGTCAGGGCAGATCTTAGACAGAGACGAGCTGCTAACTGGACTGAGCAGTTAAGTATGAGCAGGAGTTTGCCGAGGTGACAAGGGGGAAAAGCATATTTACACAAGGAAACAGCAGGAGAAATGATGCAGGGCTGTTGCTCTCCATACCTGCTAGGAGAGGCGATAACCACGCTTCCTAATGACTGTAAGTTAAACCTACCTGAGCTTCACTCAGCTCATGTCTAAGGAACTAAGAAAAACCGTTTCTACCTCACAGAGTCCTTCTGAAGTGTAAACAAAATAACAATTACAGAAAAGAATTATGGACACACAGTGCACACTCAGAAATAGTAATTATTAGTAGTATCTCATTTCTTAAGAAGCGTGTAGATTTAAATACGTAATGGTTATTTTATTTACTAATCACGCAAGGCTCTAAATCAGTGATTTTCAGCCAGTGTGCTGCAAGAATTTTTAAAACATGCAATACCTGGCTATTTAGTCAGGGACATTGAGCTCTTTCCCCTTCGATTATCAAATAAAAAAATGACAACAGCCAACACAATAGCCGCCCAATGCGAATGAATAAAAAATACACCTTTTGTTGTTAGATCGGCATAAAATGTATTTTTTTGGTGTGCTGCCGAATTTTAGTAATTAGTTTATGTGCCCTGAGATGAAAAAGGCTGAAAATCGCTACTCTAAATAGTTGCCTATGTATGTTTGTCTTACTTAAGTGCCTGGGAGACAGAGATTAAAGCTTAACCCCTTATATCTCAAACATACCCTGCAGAGAAACAATAGCTCAGAATGTAAGAAAATATATTTCAATAACACTTCAATTATACACATTTCCATTGAATATGTTGACCTATCAAAATAAGATAAAAAAGACTGCCTTGTGATATCCTATCTCTGAAGATCTTGTCAATAATGACATAATAATTTTAAAAAAGACCCATCATGTTAATGTGGTTTTGCTATTTAAAAGTAGTGAATCATTGCGTTATCACTCTTTCAAGTCCAATAGATTCAATAAGGAAAAACAGACAGGAACTTTGTTAGGGTCTTTATACCTCACTGACAACCCAGGAAATCCAGAGGAATCACACTATTGCTTGTTGCACACAAACAACTGTCCCCTCTCCCGAGATGGGTCTTCCAGCCTTACTACCGGCATTTGGTAGGACTTGCTCTTCGAGAGCAGAGGAGATTTATCATCATAAAGCCAGTTTCAACATATTATTCTGGAGTCAACTAGAGAAATGAAAAATGAACACTTGTGAAATCCAATGAGACAATGTCATTAATGGGTCTACTTGAGAAGACACATCAGACAAAGAAATCTGGGAAGTGATTCACTTCTCTTGAACCAAACTGGGTAGCTCCTACTACAACAGGAAACAGAAATGGCACCGTTCCTATAAATAGGAATAATTACCAGATAAACACAATTATCTAATTTACTAAAACTAACTGATTTTCAATTAGGATAAACAACAACAAGAAGTTTCCTGCACATGGTCACCGCAGCCCTCAGCAGGATATAAAAGCAACAGAGGGCAAGGAGAGACCACACTCGATAACCTCACTTCCCTGGAAACTCACCCAGAACCTCCACCCTCTGACACCATGTCCTGTTGTGGATCCGTCTGCTCTGCCCAGGGCTGTGGCCAAGGCTGCTGCAGGGCCACCTGCTGCCGCCCCAGGTGCTGTGGCTCCTGCTGCTGCTGCCCCTCCTGCTGCATTTCCAGCTGCTGCCGCCCCTGCTGCCAGCCCTGCTGCATTTCCAGCTGCTGCCGCCCCTCCTGCTGTGGCTCCAGCTGCTGTGGCTCCAGCTGCTGCCGCCCCTGCTGCCGCCCCTGCTGCTGCCTCCGCCCAGTCTGTGGCCAGGTCTCCTGCCACACCAACTGCTATCGCCCCACCTGTGTCATCTCCACCTGCCCCCGCCCCATGTGCTGTGCCACCCCTTGCTGCTGAATCTCTGCTTTGAACACACCGCTTCCTCCTAGTCTCCCTCCCCAAAGATGCAGACCCTCCTTTTCAAAAATATGCAACTGATTTCTTGGATCCCATAGCAAACCCCAGTCCTACTAATTCTCTGTTCACATTCTAACTTCTGTCCAAACTTCCTTCCTTCAAATGAATTCATTCAGTATCTCCTAATAAATTTAGTTTCCCCAGCATCTCCCCCTTTGTCTTCAGGACACCCATTCTTCTTGCTTAAGGAATCTGAAGATTGTGTCCATCACTTGTGGGGTCACAAATTTTAACTCCCCTGACATCGAAGTCCAATGAAGCCTTTTCTTGTACTCCTTTGCAAGGATTTTCTTATACCAAATAAACCTCTTAGTACTGGCTCTGAAAATTAAGTGTGATTGTTAGTCCATTTTTAAAAGGTTTTATATGTGGGTCCTGGGTAATTGTATTTTGTGCACACCTGTTAGACAGACAGCATGGATTAGTTAACCTCCAACAGAGATCAAATGACACTGGTCACCAGTTTTCTCTAGAAAGTCCTTTTAGTCTTAGCCAAATCAAGAAATCATTTTCCAGTCCTTAGTGGGGGGAAATGCAACTGAAGTCATAGTGCATCTGTGAATATATTGAGAAAGTCTTACAAAGACTGGACATAATTCATATCTCTGAAAACACCGTCTTTCAGGGTTCTTTTTTCACCAATAAAATGCAGCTAATAAATAAACGAATAAATAAATAAATAAATAAATAAATAAATAAATAAATAAATAAATATGTCTTTCCTCAAGTGTAGCTGTGATACCTTTGGAATATTTCTCCCTCTTTTCTCCATTAGTCAAAAGTTATATATTTTTTTAGATCCAGAGACATAGAAGCATGGAACAGAGGGATCTCAGAGGGAAGGCGAGGGTGTGGGTGTGGGTGGGGAGAGATTAATCAAAGAATTTACATGCTTATATGCACAGACAGAGACATTGGTATGGGGAAGGCCTGGGGGTGGGGTAGATGCAGGGTAGAGGGGATCAATCAGGGAAAAAGGGGAACATCTGTAATACCTCAAAAATAAAGATAGCCCGGCCAGGCGTAGCTCAGCAGTTGAGCGTTGATCTAGGATCCAGGAGATCGGGGTTTGATTCCCGGTCAGGGCACATGCCCGGGTTGCGGGCTAGGCAGCCGATCAATGACTCTCTCATCATTGATGTTTCTCTCTCTTTCTCCCTCTCCCTTCCTCTCTCTGAAATCAATAAAGATATATTTAAAAAATAATAAAGATAAATTTTTTAAAAAGAAAAAAAATATTTTTAAAGGACCATTTTATGCCCCTATGTCATCAAAAAGCCTTCATTTACTCAACAAACACTTATCACTAGTGTCCTCTGTCCCACCCTTGTCCTGAGCATGGAGGAACAAAGTGAATGTCATAGCTCATACTGTCAGGGCATCTGCACTGCAACTGCGGGAGAGACAGAAGTAAATAACTATGATACAGGAGAGTGTGCTAAATTAGGAGCACAATGCAGGGAAGAATTACATATGCATGAGGGAATTTTTCAGAAATGATATCACTAAAGAGGAAGCATTTCAGCTGGGTTTTTGACAGATGAATGGGAGTTTGTAGAGCTGACAAGAAAGAAGGAACATTCTGGGAAGATGAGACAGCTTCAGCAAAGGCTTATAAGTTTTGAGGGTTTTTTGGTATTTTTTGTTTTTAATATTTTTATTGATTTTTAGAGAGCAAGGGAGAGAGAGAAACATCGATTGCTGCCTCCTGCACACCCCCTACTGGGTGGGGATCGCGCCCACAACACGGGCATGAGCCCTGACTGGGAATCGAACCAGCAACCTCTCGGCGCATGAGACAACGCCCAACCAACTGAGCCACACTGGCCAGGGCCAACGTTTGCAAATTTTATTCTTTGAACCTTCCTTAGCTGCTTATCTGTAAGATTAAGACAAGCTTACTTTCTGTTTAATCTTACACAAGTCTTTTTCTCTTAACTTCTCAATGTTTCTTTTGCCTATTCCACTAAAAGAGTAACAGTACTTTATAGGGTTGCATTAAAGATTAAAAACAAATATTAGATATTCAGCATAATGCCTGAATACTTCACATGGTGAATACTTCACAAATGATAGTTGTTAACATTCCCTCCACCTTTCATGGAGGGTATACGCAACTTGTCCACATACTGTATATTTTTATTTTAATTATTTAATTAAAATAATTTCCATTCTTTCAATTGTTACCAAACTCTGCTTCCCATGCATATCTTATTCAAGTATATACAGGAAAGAGATGATGGGAAATTGGTCATGCCCCCCTCATAGTACCCAACAGAATGTCTTGGATACTGTGTGTGTTACATGCTGTTGAGTCAGCTCCAATGCCTGGAGACCCTATGAAGAGTGATGTCCACAGTGTCCTGTCCTCAACAGCCCTGCTCAGCTCCTGTAGACTCATGCCTGTGGCTTCTTTTTTGGAGCCCATCCATCTCATATTTGGTCTTCCTCTTTTCCTGATGCCTTCTATTTTTCCCAGCATTACTGTCTTTTCCAAAGAACCCTGCCTTCTCACTGTGTGCCTGAAGTAAGACAGCCTCAGTTTTGTCATGGATACATGGCACTGAAGTCCTAATCATTTAAAATATTGTTTATATATAACAAATGCTTCTGCAATGAAACATCCATTTTGCAGGTTTAACAACCAAAGGATAAATCAAAAATTTCCCACTGTTAATGCCTATACTGAAAGACATACCACAAAAATGTTTTTCACTATTTATATAGAGTGAGTCATTGCTAAGTGTCTCAGCTTGAGACAGTGAAATAAGATCTAGCCCACACAGGACCAGTCATCCTCATTACAGATGGGACACCCTCCTTCCCAACAGGTCATTCTTATTCCTTCCAGCGTTTCCCCTGACCAGCATTCATTCCCCTCACCTTTCACAACAAAAGATTCATTAGCATTTTAAGAACCACCCCATGATTTTCATGGAGCAGTGTACAGACAGGAGGAAATGTCACATTCAAAAGCAAAATGTCAGAGTCATGTGACAAGGGCTTGTAAAAGACACTGCATCCGCCAGAAACAAAGGTGACACCTACTAAGAAAAAAATGTGACAAGTCTTTCAATTGGAAACACAGAAACTTACCAGAAAAAGGAAATGTGCTATTTTCTCCATTTTGAGGTATTTAACTAGAAATGCACAATTATGAAATTAAATAATTAAGTTTTCTAAAAGGGTAAATAATAACAAGGAAATAATGACATAGTGATAGCAGCTCTGCAGCAGGGTATAAAGGTAGCTGTGGGCCAAGGGCACTCCCAAACTCACGAACCTCACTTCCCTGGAAACTCACCCAGAACCTCCACCCTCTGACACCATGTCCTGTTGTGGATCCGTCTGCTCTGCCCAGGGCTTTGGCCAAGGCTGCTGCAGGGCCACCTGCTGCCGCCCCAGGTGCTGTGGCTCCTGCTGCTGCCGCCCCTCCTGCTGCATTTCCAGCTGCTGCCGCCCCTCTTGCTGTGGCTCCTGCTGTGGCTCCAGCTGCTGCCGCCCCTGCTGCCAGCCCTGCTGCATTTCCAGCTGCTGCCGCCCCTCTTGCTGTGGCTCCAGCTGCTGTGGCTCCAGCTGCTGCCGCCCCTGCTGCCAGCCCTGCTGCATTTCTAGCTGCTGCCGCCCCTCCTGCTGTGGCTCCAGCTGCTGTGGCTCCAGCTGCTGCCGCCCCTGCTGCCACCCCTGCTGCATTTCTAGCTGCTGCCGCCCCTCCTGCTGTGGCTCCAGCTGCTGTGGCTCCAGCTGCTGCCGCCCCTGCTGCTGCCCCTGCTGCTGCCTCCGCCCAGTCTGTGGCCAGGTCTCCTGCCACACCAACTGCTATCGCCCCACCTGTGTCATCTCCACCTGCCCCCGCCCCATGTGCTGTGCCACCCCTTGCTGCTGAGCCCCCTTCTCTGTAACCATCATCTCCATTTACTTCTGTCCCCACAGATGTAGACACTTCTTGTAACGACCCTTGGGACCCACGGAGTCTGGCAGATGTCATTCAGTGGGTGGGCTTCATGATTCCAGTGAGCTCCCCACCGTCCCCACTGACTGTGAGCACCTTCTGGTTCATTTTAAACTCTCTCCCTTGCTCTCTTTCCCTTCGATAGTGACCAACTGTGTATAAATCTGCAGTCTGCCAGCTAAGTAAATTATCCTAATCCTCTAAGTTTCTCATTATTCCTTATCATTGTGGGCTCCAGATTATCCTTCCAACAAGGTGGGCGTTATCTGCAGCCCTGAGGGCCACTGATTTGACACTCTCAGACCTGGGTCCGATTACACCCTGTATTTTCTCCTACAGTGAATTTCGTATGTTTTGTTGTTTCTCTGCTTTCTAATAAACTTTTCTGCACGTAAGAATCTACTGGCATCATTCCCTTTTGTTTTTATGATTATTTTACTTGGTAACTAGGCAGTTGTGGAAAGAATAACTCATGTTGAAATCACCAAAAGAACGGATTTGACTAAAGAATGTCATGCCAAGGCTTTGGGAGCCACTATTTCAGTGTTGTCTCGATAAACCGAGTTTCCAGGGGTAGGCCATCGGATGGATGAAGAAGCGGAGAAAAGTCAGATTTGTAAACGTAACACTAAGCAAACTAAGAAGGGTAGAAGTCCTACTATTCAGACATAACTGAGACCCACAATCGGTTGGTTTATGAAAAATAAAATCATAAGGAAACTTCCACACTCAAGGAAAATACAAGTCTTAAGATACAAACAATTCCTGAAGAATAATAAGTCATGATAAATAATGACACATCACACGAGGAGATGAACCTCCCCTCGTTCCATCTTCATGATGGTCTTGAGGTTGCTACTGCTGGGAGTCCCAGGGGTTTCTCCGGCCTGAGACAAATGATTCTCAGCTTGGGATTCCCACACCACAGAGAAGTCTAAAAGTGGAATCCAAACTCACTTAAATTGTAAGCTTTCAGTTCTGAATATAGAATTATTTTTTCTTCAATTCACATTCACCAAAGAACAAGATTAACTGGGCTTCTCTTACTAAGATTTTCCAGTTCTCCCATCTCAAATTTTCCAGTTCTCCCATCTCAGATGAGAGGTCCCTCGAGTCTCAGTTTTTCATAGTCCCAAAATAAAGTCTTTTGGGCCCTATGAGGAAATTAAACCCCCAGCCCCGAGTCATTGGCTCATATCCTAAAGAAGCTGCAGCACCAGATCACAGATTGAACAATCTGGTCTTAAGTTCCTTCTTCATTCTCGCACCTGGGGATCTTTGTTTTCTTTCTTTTAAGCTCAGAAATGTATTACTTTAAAACTTATATTCTGAATCTATATATATAGGTAGTCAAAGGGGCATTTCATATTATCTGTGTTGCTGAAATCCTTCATTAATTTTTCCCAAGAGAAAATTTCACCTGTTAGTCACTGGAATAAGTGGCATTTACAGTAGGCAGTGAACTATATTTTCTAATGAAATATTTGATTAAATCAAAAGCCATTTTCATAAACTTGGTGTTTCTCTTTTGAAGATCTCATCAAATATAAGCTAATAGGAGACTGACAACATGAATTTATTACAGAGAAATCAGACAGTCTTCGTTTAATCGATGGCATTTCTCAGTTGACCAGAAAGAGGAGAAGGCCAAGGAGTAAAAGGAACCCCATAAATGGAGGCCCAGTGAACATCATCTCATTTGACTTTCTAGAAGTCTTGATCCAAGCTCCACAACGAAGATTATTAAAATAACGAATTCACTGCTCGGGTAGGTTAGGTCTTCCTTTATTAATATTTACTCTTTCCCCCG